GGTTCAACTTATCCACGCGACAACATTTCTTCTCGCTTCGAGTCACTGACATGTGGAACAGCCTCCCTGAAGATATTGTTGACGCTCCGAGTATGAACGCGTTCAAGAACAGACTAGACAAGGCCATGCATGAGCATATGTTCAGTCTTAAAATGCCTCGTACCCTACGGAACATCTGATATCTAGAAGCGATTTTAAATCTACCGTCCGTAAGGCCAGTCTAGTCAAGAAAGGTACAAGAATCGGCGACAGGCCTATCCAGGCCTATTTATTTAATGCCGATGATACTATACTACTATACTATGAGAAGGTTGTCTCAATCGAACAATGATTTCACCATATGAGTGAATTTTATTTTTTACCATCATAGGTAAGGCAGAATTTTGAAAAATATTTCCATTTCCAAAGTCTTGAGTTGTAGTTTTATAGACTCTCTGATTGATCATTTATGCTTTTAGAACAATTATCACATCAATTTTCGATAATGATTTATCATTTCAGTTCTCATCCTTTCTCGTGTATATTTATTAATAGACTTATGTGAAACGTTCACTCAAAGTTCGATTGAACCAATCGTTACGATAGCTGATTCGCAGAATAATAATAATAGGAATAGTAATAACAATAATAAAAATAATAATAATAATAACAATAATAGTATTAGTAATAATATTATTAATAATAATAAAACAATGATAATAGTAATAATAACACTGATAATAAAAATCTTAGTCAGTCATAACGAGGCATTTAATATTAAAAATTTTACGAGGTTTTCATGAAATTTTCTAGCATAGGATAAGAAAATTATTTATTATTAAAGTTAAAAACTATACCTCATTATTTCAGATATTTATGTACTGGCACTATGCCAATTATGTCATTTTTCATGATTGAACTAGGATAATGAAAGTCCAGTCAATAATTGCAACTCAGTATTATATTTTTGAAGCAAAACTTGTAGTTATTGCACACAATTTCCGGTAATTATCCAAGCCATCGTCCCAATAGGCATCTCTTCTTATGCATTTCAGTCAGTAGACGCAACGTCATCAACTGAAAAATTAATATAAATTAGGGTTACTGGAATTTTTAATTAATTTTTTTAATTTAATTTTTACTTATTGGAACATATGTCTAATTCGGCTTTATTTATTGTGTTATTATAATTCATTATAATGCTAACGCACGATTATTGGCAGAGAAGATAGATATTGCAGATTTGAATTTCTTTGGCCCCGTTGGACACTAATGTATTAAGGAATATAACAGGAAATTACTTTCCCTAAAATTTATTTTGAGAAAACACGGCGGGCACTCACTGCATGGGTCATAAAATTTGTCGGGCATATTCATTTAATAGGAAAAAAGCCCTCCCTTCTTGAATAATATTTCAACGATTAGTTTTAGCGCCCAGTGAACAGGGAATTCCAGACGTTTACCACTATAGTGTTGGAGACAGATATTGTCTTTACAAAGGTAATTAACACCGGAAAAATATTCTTCAAATGTTTGTTTCAATTATTTTAATCGAACGGTGTTGGAAATAACTACAGATTCATGTCATAAAATTAAACGGTTGCAAATATCCGCCGCACAATAATCAATATATCATCTTTATGCATAGAACCATAGTACAACCCGTGTAAGGTTCTCAACGGTTACCTAGCTGCAGTTGGGAATGGCCTCGGTGGTGAAGGTAGCCTTGTATCCAGCTTCTGGTTTTTGAGGGTTGTTGTTCTTGTAGTGGAAGATCAGCTCCGACTTGTCACTCCTGAAAACTGTTCCCTTTGCTATTGCTTCAACACAGAACCTGCATCAAGTGGAAACGAGAAACATTTCATATTTCAGCAACAACAGTTGAGTCACGATTCGTCACAATGGATTTTATTTAAACTGTTAATCGCATAAGAATATTCGTTTATATTAAACTCCCGTCATAGCTAAACTTCAAGCTCGAAAACTTGCGAAGGGTGTTTTTGTGACTTTATTTTAGTTCAAAGATTGACTTACAGAAGTAGGCAAATGCAGTTTTTCAAAGACAAACATGTACAAAAGTAAGGAATCACAGATGCAAAAATTTTGGTATTTTTGTTCGGTTTATTTGTTCTTTAGTAATTTGTATATACTTTGTTATTTGTTAATAATTTGTATTCTGTAGTAATTTGTATTTTTATTCTTTAGTAATTTGTATTTTTTATATTCCTATTCAATTGCATTTGCAAGTAAAAACTGCTTGTATTTCCCGTACACTTTGCCATCCGCAACGGAAACGTCAGTGCGGATCTCCAAGGAGTTGTCGTTGCAGTCGTCGTCGAGCTGGAAGTCCTTGAACGTGACCACGGCCCTTTGGCACTTGGGAGCGCGTATCACCTGCGTACTTCCCATCGCTGGAAAACAAGTACAAATATGTCAGGGAGTGCATTTTATGCAATAATTCCAGTGATGTGTCATATGATGTAACACAGATTACTTTGAGTAATCTTTTGTGACGTGTCCATCCATTGTGTCTGCGATTGTGTCGCCTATATTCGATAAGTGTGACGAATGATAATACGAACTAGATTGTATAAAAACAATCTTAGCGTTCAAAATCGAATATTTAATTACGATATTTGGAGCGATATTTATTTATACCCTGTGTTATTTATTATTCTATTATTGATGTATACTTTTATTTTAATTTCCATGATTGTCAATCCAATGCTTCGAGAAACGCAGATCCCCGAATTCAACATACGCAATTATTTTTTTAAGAACGAATAACGAACATACTAATGAATTTAGGTTCTATTTGGGCCTCACTAATTTGGGATTTGACATCAGCGTCGGTATGATTATATCATCAATCAACGAATAGCATAGAAGAAATAAATATATTTTTTCTATATTCTTTATATATATATTCTATATATATAAATATATATATATTTCAATTCGCATTCATTTTTTGAACGTACCTCCTAGACGGAGAGATTTGGGGTAGCCAGGAGAGGTGACTTTTCCTGGTTTGGTGATGTTGGCGCTATGTGGGGTCAGCTGCTTGATCAGGGCGTCTGCGATGAAGTGTACTTATGTTAATGATTTTAGAGTAAATATTCGAGTGCTTGTGAACATCTCTGAGTTTGAATGGGAAACTAACATGGGATCATTTCATATCTCACACCTAAGATTTCTGGATATTATATTCACAATGATACCCTATTAGAAATACGGGAAATTTGTTGTGATGGTGACTTGCTCAATTGCTTGTTTATTCAACCCAATTTACTGTCATGTACATGAAAGCGGAATGAGGATGAGAATGATAAATACCAACTCAACCTAACTCTGTAGATTACAAGGCTAATTCTCGTTTTTTTTATTAATGAAAACAGTTTTTTAAACACATGAGCAGACTAACCTGCACATCCACCTGTAAATTCGCTTACAAATTCTCTCGACCTTTGATTATGCACTAATCATGTCATTTGGTAATGCATGTGTCATAGAAGAAAAATATTGTTTGGACCTCTCTTCAGGGAAACGGTTAGATTCAATTTACGGAAATCAAATTTCTGGTCCTTGTCTCAAAATTTATATAAGCTCGGTATTAAGCGATTATAGTTTTCTAATAATTGCTTCGAGCCTCACCGTTGTAGCTCCTGACGAAGTTCTCGCATTTTGCGCCTGTCGTGCCCAACGGACAAGCACATTTGCAGTTCTTCTTGGTGTAGCCGCCGTTCATGCAGGGTTCAGATGACAGCTTGCACTTCGCCAACCAGTCATCAGGCACACATAGAAAATAAATAAGTACAGATATCTTTTCCCTTTTTGCACATGAAAAATTTTACTCACTAAATGAAAAGCGGTTGTGCAAGTTCTTTCCAGCTTACAATTCCAAGTAATCCATGTTGTCGTTGTTTTTCCACCTGACCTAATAAACTTTCAGAATCCTAGTATGGTCTATTCGCTCAAGTGATGAAGATGAAAATCAATCTCTATGTAAAGGAAAATTTTGTAGTGGAAAATTATTTTTAAGTAGAGAATATGGAAATATATGATCATATATTGGTACAGAATAGGAACATGAATGGATTCATATAGAATACTATGTTACAGATCATGTGTCGTACACATCACCGCTACAAAATATACACTGTACAGTATACAGGCCTCACCTATGCAGCCGTACATTGTGTTCACGAGCTTCAAGTTCATGAAAGTAATTTCACTGCCATCGCCGTTAGCGCCCATAACTGTTTGAAACCGAGGGTCTCTAGCGAGCATCACGCGCTCTGGGCCCTTGGAACCAGCCTGGGCAAGTAAAAAACATAGAAAATTAATTTAAATCCCGCATATTAAAAAAAAGTTTCTTGAGTATTGAGATATGAGATATGTTTCGTGCAAATAAGATGTATCCATGAACATACAAAAAATAGAGTGAACTAAGTAGAAGCAGGGAACTATATTTATGAATTATTCTCAAATATTCAAAATTAGCATATACTCCGAAGCTAAAAGAATAAATATTTAATTTGAAGCTTCAAAGGAGCAGAAAAATATATTTAAATGGTATTCGACCTTACATCGAAAAAATTCACTGTCGTATCCTATATTTTATGCAGGAAACAATACTAAATAATTTTATGACATCTTGTGGAAGTTATGCTTTGCACGTGGAGTCGTGGACTATGTCAATAATGTGCCTAAATTAATAAAAAGTTCTATGGCATCTTCCTTTTCATCAAGGTAACGAAATATTTTATTGGGATAATCGCTGTTTGAATGATCGTTTAGCTGATATACACTGTTGTACTATGAAATCAAATTTTATTATTTAATATAAATAATAAAATATTTTTGCTTCTATATGAACATATCCTCATTGAACATATCCATTCGAAATATACAGTTAAACAATAATGTATGGAAAATTGAACAGAATAATTAATTGAAAAATCACCATACGGAAAACTTAAAATGTAAAAAAAAATCGTATTGTAAGCAACGATTATTTGGCAAGAACATTTGGCACTGCAGCCAGTTTTGGATGTCTTACAGCATCTTGGTACTGCATGACGGAGTAGTAGTCGTAAGGGAGGCCGAAGTTGACGGTATTTTCCTTATTAAAATTAGCCTCGTCGCCAGGCGCAATGTTAGCTGTAACCACGATGATGTTGTCATCCCTGAAAACAAGTCCACAATCAATTTCGAAAACTCTAGCAGCACTTCCTTCCCAATATCATCGAACCAAAATAGAAATTTCTACAAAATGCTGATAAGTATTTGTAGTGCAAAGAAGTGCATTTTACGTTCATCTGTGGAATAATTTTGTCGATCAAAATTTTCTTTCTTAAATGAGCCATTATAGTGATTAAAACAAACGTTTCTGACTAAAATTTAACTAGAATTCCTGCAGCGATCCAGGTGGGGCGCTGCCGTGGGCCACAAATTAAACTCTTAACAAGCCTTGAGCCAATGTCCAGCCCAGCATGCAATTACTACCCTCTGATTGCTTCAGAGCTGGGAATACGCAGACTACGCTGAAAAACCGTTATCTAGTTCGTTGAGACACTGCCCAAAGATTTTGACACAGGGCTTATGAGCGGTTCTGCATCTGGCCTCACTTATACTCCGGTCTAACCTCTTCTGGCCTAACCTATTCACGCTATTAATTGGCTTCATCTGCTCACTAGCTCCTCCTCTCCAACTTTCTGCAGCCAATGTGGTTACGTTAAATTCGGCTCGGGCTTGTTTTGGGTGGGAAATGTTGCAATATGAGTACTGAGTAGATTAGGCCAGAAGATTTTAGGTCGGGAATGTTAAGCCGGATTCAGTGTACTATGCTTTTCTTAAGCAAGCTATAGCGTTGAATGTGAACATACGGCGCTATAGCTTCAAGCACTTAACATGTTTGACTGCGCAATATCAACGTTTTCGCAAAACTAGCATTTCCTCCACGATAAATCAACTCACAGTAGCTTTAAACCTATGTGTAAACCTCAAAAAATACATTAAGCTATTCAAATTCACATCACTTCGGCGTTCAGCTACCACGGCACCAAACACAGCTCAGCGTAAACTACATTAGCTACACCAAAGACCAACTCAGCGTTAGCAACATTAACTACACCTAAGACCAACTCAGTGTAGACTACATAATCTCATTCCTTGCTCGGCAATTCCAACACCATGCAGTACTAACCTGTCACTGCGGGACTGTTCGTGCTCCAGCCCCATCGCGTGGCCGAGCTCGTGGATGATTCCCCTGAGCTGTTAATCGGGCACCATGCGTTAATGTCATCCATTAGGTACTAACAGGAGCATGAAATGCAAATAAGACACTGTTTTGTAATCGGAGTTCTGGAAAGCTTCTGTCTATTATGCGTTCTTGCATAAGCAACAAATTATGTCAACATAATCTACTGTATATTATCTGGCAACCAGTGACTCGTGAGAAATTGTGAAATATTCAAAGGAAAATAGGCGTCCTTGAACATGCACAAAATTGATTGTACACAGGCGTCCGTTCATTTTACAAAAAATCCGAAATTCTCAGAATATCGTTATGCGATATCAAACTACATGCACATAAATACTGCAGTCTATTAGGTCAAATGAGGAACTCAAATAAACTGTTAAATAAAAATTACACAAAATTGCATTTGTAGTAAAAGATAGTGTTTATCATGAAAATCCACGATACAAGTACTTTCTGAAGCGATATTTTCCTACAATGATGTTTATTCGTATTTTTATATAAACATGCGATGCTAATTACGTTTTAATATCGAATATTTAATATACCTTAAATATAATTATTGGTGCCAATAAATATCTGAAACCCTTTAACCCATAAGAAGAGCGTATAAGCTAATAATAATAGATTGTGAAAAAGCAAAGCGAAAAATGTTACAAGCTCTGTACAAAATTATTTCTTATAACAAAATTGGAATGAAGCCTTTTATGTGGGACGCACATTACATGCATCACCCGCGATGCTGATATTCGTGAGCTCGCCTTGCGTGTAGCCCACGCCGGACCAGCAGCTCTTCTCTATCATCATATTGAGGTACTCAGCCGTGGTGTCAGCCGCAGACAACTCGGGGAACTTTAAGCAGGTTGTAGACTCCCAAGCGCTGATGCCCAGCTTCACCAGAGTCGCGTTTATCTTCGCTGTTAAATTCAAGAAAGGGAGTTTGTTTGATTGGGTTCGTTGAATGTGGAAGTAACAGTTTTGACTGTAGAGTGTCCTTCTTTCTTACTAATACACGACTGTCAGTCGAACGTTTGAAGGGAGAATAACTCGTGAGATTTTATAGTAACAGGATAAAGCTAATTAAAGTCTGTTCGATGGACATAACTAATTAGAAAGACAAATTTTTGTCAAAAGTTGTCTCTGATATCTGAGAAGCCGCTGATATCAACCCTAGCATGTAATGTTATATGAGGATAAGGTAATCGCAATATATATTAGAATATCTCAATTTGTTTATCTTAATTACTTGGCACAAATAAACGAGTGGTTAGTAAAAATTATTTCACTAAAGAGAATCACTATTAAATGAAGCTAATGTTGATCTTCTAAGTTGAATCGAATAAAATAATAAAATGTGTTAACGATTTCTAGTGCAACAGTAACTATTTATCACAACATATTCAACATGTATCGACTCACGATCTGCTATCTTGTATGGAAGTTTGACAACTCCGCTCGTTTTCGGCCAAAGCACTTCTTTAGACTTCAAGTTCCTAGCGAGCAAACTTTGCCACTGCGCCGCGGAGTAGAGCATGTCGCCGACCAACACAGATCCGTCCGCTCGGGTGGTCACGCCCTTGTGGGATAAGAAATTAAATTTACTGGTTTGTACTGATGCGATGTTAGCTGACCGTTCAAACATCTAAACAAGTAAGAACAATTCAACACTAGGGTTTTTTTGTAAACAACTTATTTACGGCTGAATTTGAGAAAGAAAATCCAATGAATATATAGAATTATTTGTCCACGCTCTTCACTCATAACTCTTAATATACGCAGGCTTCACAGTCTATTGCAGTTTATGGCACTGTAAAATAAATATTACACAAGTGTCACGCTATAAATTCGCCGCTAAACATTCAAGCGATTTCATACAAATGAGAATTTTTTTCTCGCCATTGAATGACTGAAAATGTTTTTTTTTATCTTAAAAAAGTCCCTTTTGTATTCTGTGTCTAAGATAAATCGCATTTATTGAAAGATGGTGACTTAAATCGGAGGACATCGTCTTGAAAACTAACATTTATGTTGCGCGTTCTCACTATAGTATTTATTACTTGACCTGCACGATGTACAGATATAACAAAAAGTTTAAACAAAGAGAACAGAAGCATCAAATATCAACAACCATAGACTCTATATATTCTACAAAAATTTTATTTTTACAAACATTATGGTTGCCCGGGCACCATCCATTTTCATAACCATTAATCGAACAGAACATCAGACTCTTACGTCTGTGTAGATCAGTGGTTCCCAAACTTTTTCAGGCTGGCCCCCCCTTTGGCTCCCTATAGTGATCATTTCTAGCGCCTTCAACAGACACATATAAAAACATACGCCAATTTCTTGAAATTTAATATGCTGCAATTTTAAAAGAGAAAGGTTAAACACAAATGTGTATATCACGAATAGAACCTTATTTAGTAAACAATATGTTTTTCAGCTGTTTTAACTGTTCCAGCACTATAGAAACCTAGGACGTCTCGGGCAAATTTGCGGCCGGACTCTTGGCCGGTCTCACGGGCAATCTCAGAATTCAATTATCAAAGAATATCTCCCAAACTAATGAACGCAGCTCAATGAAACTTAGAACATGTATTCATCAGAACCTAACGGTGATGTTTAGCTCGTGAAAATTTCTAAATTTCACCTTCACTTGTGAGTTATATTGCGATACAGGCCGAAATTCGTAGTGATCAAAGAATTTCTTCCTAACTACTGAACAGATTTGAACGAAATTTTGAATATACACTTAACTACCAAACAGTGATTTTGTTTTCTGTTTAACTTGTAATAAAATTTTTTATTTTGTCTTCGTTTGTGAGTTTTTTTTTAATTTCACCGTCATTCTTGATTTCACACCTCCTTGTATTAGGCCCGTATCTCCGGGTAATTTGTCGCTTAAATTCACGGCGATCAAGAAATTTCTTCTAAACTACTGAACAGATTTCAACAAAACTTTATATTTCAATACCTAACCTCCCAACGATGATGTTTAGCTCGTGAAAATTTTTATATTTCGCTTTCGTTATCGAGTTATTCAGATATAGGAGAAACGACCGGCTTTTCACCGGCCGGTTTAACCGAGAGCCGTTTACGTATAGCCATATAAGTCGCAAACGAAGGCAAAAGCGAAAAAAATTGTAACGAGCTAAACATCACAGTTGCTGAGGTTTGGTATTCAAATACTAAGTTTCGTTCAAATATGTTCAGTAGTTTGGAAGAAATTTCTTGATTACTGCGAATTTAAGCACGTATTGGTGTTTAAATCACGAAAGAAGGAGAAATGAAAAAAAAAACTCGCGAACCAGGGCAAAATTGGAAAAAATTTCACGAGTTAAACATTACCGTTCGGTAGTTAGGACTGTAAATTTAAAATTTTATTCGAATCCGTTCAGTAGTTTGGAAGAAATTCCTTGATCACTTTGAATTTTGGCCCGTATTGCCATATAAATCACAAATGAAGGCAAAAGTCAAAAAATTTACACGAGCTAAACATTACCGTTATGTCCTAATAAATACGTGTACCAAGTTTCATCGAGTTACGTTCATTAGTTTGAGAGATATTCCTTGATCATAGAATTTGGAAATTGGCCATGAGACCGGCCGCGAGTCCGGCAGTTAATTTGTCCGAGACCTAAGCCCAGGAGAGGTTAAAAAATAGATCTGGGCCAAAAAACCTTGACTGGGAGTCATGTGCTGCACGTGTTGTGTACAAATCGTCAAACAAACTTTCGAACTTCTGACTTCGACTTCGGACTGCCACCCCCCTACCGCCCCTTACCGCCCTCTTCTTCCTTACCGCCCCTAAAATCTTTCCACCGCCCCTGGGGGGCGATATCGCCCACTTTGGGAACCACTGGAGATGAACGCCTAAAATTGAAGGATTGTGTACCTTAAAAACAGTTCTTTTCTAGCTGTTTTAAAAATAATTTAAAATGGCTTCTTTCCTTGAGAAACAAAAATATATTTGTTTAACAAAAGGTTAGAATAACCTTTTTATATATATTTAAAATTGTTAGGTTATAGGTTTATATTTAACAAATATTAGGTTAGGTTATATATTTACCAAAAGGTTAGAATAAATAGACTGTACCATTGGCGCGGAGATGGTCTCCACAACGGCGTAGCATAAGCACAGCGCCAGGAGCGATTGATAGGCCTTCCCTTTTGCCATTTTGAACGCTAACCGAGTATCTGTAATGAATGAAAACATGTCATAAGTCGTTATATTTCTTCTGTAACATCTACAATGGGAGCCTGTATAGTGTACAAGCAACAAGGGACGAAAAGAAAATTTCCTCGATTTACTGGAAAAGCGTGCCAAACTGCGTTAATTAAGAGTTAATTTAGAATTAGTCAAAAGATTTTTCATTGATAATATTATTCAGACCAGTTTCGTCATAGGTTCAAAAAAATCAAGAATACAAGTAATCAATCAACCGAAAATATGAAAATATGAGTTAATTGATTCACACAATATGCAGTCTTACTGCGCAGAGAAATGAACAAACGAAAGCGGATCTTACACCTCACCTTGACTGGCAGATAGAAGTCTAGTTCTGAGGGCTAGCTCGCCGCCTGTTCTCCGTATATATGTCATTCGGAGGTAGGAAGAGGAATGGAAGGGGACTGGAGGGGGGACTACGAGAAGAGGATGTGGGAGAGAAATGTGGGGGAATTTGTGAGATGAGTCACGATGATGGGGAGGGCGAATTAATAAAGGGAAATTAAATAGTGAGGGAAAATGAACGGTAAGCCTGTAGGTGCTTAGGAATGAGGCTATTAGCATTGAAGGAGTGGTTGCTGGATTGATACAAAAGTATATTGGATTATAAGATTTTGTCATCGGAGACCTTATATGAAAATTTTTACATTAATTTTATTCATTCGATCAATTTGTAAATTTATATTATTATTATGTATTATTATTGATATAATTATTATTATCAATATTATATAACATTAATTATAGAAACCATTAGTTTCTTATGGGTGACGAGGGAATTACTTACGAAATGAATTCTCAAAAATTACGCCTATTTAATAAAAATAAACATAATCTCCCGCTAATATAAGGATTTAATTAAATTTTAGCTTAATCAGGTTTTTCTCTGGGTGTGTGCTCTGTACTTTTTGACCATAAGATTATAATTTGAGATGACCAATAAAATCAATTAAATATACAGTAAACAAAAATCCTTAATAAATTCAGTAAAACATAAAAAATTAACTTCTGCAAAAATGTTGTATTCTAATTCAAGCATATAATAATGTCTTGAATTTTATTGGAAAATATTTTTTTCAGTCAAAATTATTAAAGAAAAACTGAAATAATTTTTGACTTAATTTTCGATGCGTCGCATCCCAAATTACTTTGAATATATCAGCCTCAAATTTATTAAAACTGATGCTGCTGCTAAATCTAGTTGCACCAGCCGCGCGTTTAATCGTCACATGATCAGAATTGAGGATATTGATTCGTACTGTGTTCATTGGACTGCTTTTACGGGAGTGCGGTAGTGATATACGTAGAATATTGTAGGAGAGATTCATCACTCATTCAAAACAGTGTTTTGCCCGGTATTTTATTTCTTTACTTTTCCGTAATATTTATCGTTTCCTACATTTTAAATAGAAAATTCGAGTTTATCCCCGTAAACCGGTTAGACCTTACAAGAAACAATTTTGAAAATTTTTGAAACCAGAAAATAAATTCCGGGTTTCCTATAATAATTTATATTTTACGGCTAATTATGACTTTACACATGAATCCTTTTTTCATGCTATAATTTTCATGCAGAGCCATTTCATCGAAGACATTATAAACAAAATAGAAGAATAACCCTTTCTCATTCTGATATTCGGTCTTCCTCTTAGAACTGAACACATTTTCTACAGGGGTATTCCTACATCAATGCCATATTTTCACAACCAACACGCGTGGGCCGTCTGTTGAAAACTTCTCGCGAGGTCCGACTTAACACCACTTGTGTCAAGTTGACAACATTGAAACTTCACAGCAGCTGGAACTTCACTGCAGCTAGAGTTTCTCTGAGCATAAATCATCCCGAACAAACGCTATGAGTTTGAGCTGTAAAAGAGTTATTTACTCCATACACACTCGAAATTGGGCCGGCAGCATCGGAACTTCAATAAAGCTAGAGTTTCTCTGAGTATAAATCACTCCGAACAAGCGCTATGAGTATAGGCTACAAAAAAGTTATTTACTCCATGCACACTCGAAATTGGGCCGGCAGCATCGAAACTTCAATAAAGCTAGAGGCTCTCTGAACATAAATCATCCCGAACAAACGCTACGAGTTTGGGCTGCAAAAATTTATTTACTCAAAACACACTCGAAATTGTGATTCATTATTTGTCGCGAGAGGCCCTGTATTCTTAACATTGACCACTTCGTTGAAGTAGCAATATGAATCATTCGAAAATTTTAAAGCTTTCATGTTCCTCTTGTTATTTTTTGGATTTTGCGTCCTCCTTGTGCAAGTAAATTTTCCTTCTCCAATTTTTGTTGAGTAGAAAAAGTTTAGAGATCTATTTATTCAATTTAGACTTTTACATCATAAGTGTCTGGAAGATAAGAAAAAAACAAGGTTTCCATGAATTTTATAGCCAGTATACAAATTGAGGGTTGCAGCAAAGCTAAGCTTCTTGTAACTTGGCTGACACATTATTTTTACAGAAAAAAAAACTTTCATAAGTGACCTGCAAAATCGACCAATCTGTGTATCAAAATTATACCATCTGTTCGGCTAACAATGCTTAAGGCTTTTTAATTCGAAGACAGTGTGCAACACATTAAATTTCCTACGCAAATGGCAGCGAGGTAAAGTTGATCTAATTTGGCTACCGCAAGCCAATTAACTTTAATTCCAATAATAATTTCCAATTGTTACCAGGTATTAATTATCTGATCGCCTTTGAACACATTATTACGTTAAGCCGTTGGCTTCCTCGCAGTATAGATTTTTTTCAATTTTTAAAACATTCACTAGAGCAAAGATGAGCAAATGTAATTAATACAAATTTTATTAAAAGCAATGATTCGATTTTTTATAAATGGAATTTCGTCCTAATTATTCATGTGAAAAATATGAAATATCTTGAAAAGTATTATCAATATCTGACATTAGTTTATGGGACTTAACAAAATTCATCTCAACTTTTTTAGACATTGAAATTTAGTTATATTGTATTATTATTATATTATATTATATTATATTATACTATATCATATCGTATTATATATTATAATTATATGGAAATTTATCAACAGTTTTTTATCACTAACAAACTCTACCGGATAAATTGCTTTCATAATAATTAATTTTTTAGGAATAATAACAATGATACTAATAAAGATAAGTATTATTAAAATAATAAAGCAACAAAACCGAAAATTTCAACTAAATATTTCAAAAATATTTACTCAACTCAGGTGAATCCGTACTGAAGCGTAATAATTCATACATCAAGAAAAATACAGTAGTTTGAAAACAAATTATTGTAAAGATCTAACAGAATAGAATCGTAGTTCTCATATTCTGATCCTCAGTCTTTTCTAAGTAAGTCATCTGCCTATTGTACAGTTCCAAGCAACCATAAACTTTATAAATTTTTCTAAAAACGTTTTAATCTCAGCCGGAAATGTTGAACCTTAGCTATGTCCAGGTTTATTCAACTACGAGGAAATTTTTTCATGTATTGTGGTTCATTTACCAAAAAGCTTAATGTATTTTTACAGTTAATTCTTCTACTTCTGGATTGGAAATCCTTTTTTTTTTTTGTTTTCAGAATCGTGCAAGAAGTTACAATTTTAAAGAAAAATTCTCTAGGTAAAATATGTCGTACGCTAGGCCCTTTAAGTGCTCTCTTTTTTGTTCTGTTGATTTAATCGTATCTCTAGGTAATTGTTGGTTAGGCATTAAAATGCTGGGGGCATCAAGATGAGACATTTTCCATAGGCAGTTTTTGCAGGTACCATGTCTTAAGTAAGATCGAATATTAACTTCTATTGCTCGCCGAAAGTTATCATCAGCTTTCTTCTCATTAAGGGGATCAGTTATGGCAGCAGCTCCTCCTGCAAAAGACTCATCAGGTCATAAGACTTATAATGTTGAACGAATCCAGAAAATTAAGCCACATTTCACGCTACCCAAGTAGACAAAAAAAAGTTCTTCAATTTTCTTAGAATTCTTTTGACTTTCAATAATGCAAAGAATAAAACTTATTACATGAAACACCACTTCATTACTGGAACATTGCCAGATAAATAAGCAACTGTAAGGCGACATATTCCACACGCCACCAACATGCAGTCAGCAATATTCCTCACGTCACCTTTTCTGACGTCATGATAGTAGTTGTCTATATAAGCTCTATCGGCTCCGACACGCGCTTGTCCTATTCGCGTTCGTGAAGTTAACTATATACCTTCTCAACTACTGTAATAATACCTCATCGTGCCTCATCCTGTAATCCTACACTTAATAATTACTCTTAGTGTTGCCTCTACATTTATTCCGTCTGCTATAGCATATGGCCAATAATAAGAACCTATCGGAACTCGGAGATAAACTAATGGTTCATCAAATAATAAATTGAATCGACGGATGTCCTAAAAAATCGTTGACACAATGTGTATTCCAAGGGTCTAGGATGAAAATTGTTTTTGACCAATTTTAGGGGCTAGATTTGTAGGAATAGAAGTTCCAATCATTTCCTCACGACTGTAGTTTGTGGTGAAGTTCTAACATTTGCTGCCTGCGTGCCTCACCGTGGTATAGCTAAGATCCAATTTTTCGCAGTTAGCGCCGGTCGTGCCCAAGGGACAAGCGCAACTGCAGTCATTCATGGTGAATCCGCCGTTCTTGCAGGGTTTAGATGACAGCTTGCAGTTCGCGAACCAGTCAACTGACACATAAATATAATAACTAATTGAATTTTATACGAACACGCCGTATTTTTCTTGAAGTCTCTTCTACTATTCTCCAAAGTTTGTACGTTTGTGTGTGGTTAAAGCCTGGCTACTGAGGCGCGTATTCAGAATACTTTGTATATCACCAGAATAAATTTAGTTTTCAGGGGAAGAATAGGAAAATATCAGAGGAAAGGGTTAGAACAAATTTTAAATTTGATTATTCAATGTGTATATAAATAAAATAAAATTTTTAATTTGAGACGGATAATATTTTTTCGATATTTCTCGTAAGTCGTGGCTTTGAAGGGGTATTTATATTTAAAGAAATGAGGAATTATAGAGGAATGAGAGGATTGGAATCCTAAAATTTCCGGTATTTTATCATATCATCACCTCCGCAAAGTGACGATACACCAAAACAAAATTCGAGGACCGCCTAGGCTTCGGCCGGATAGTCACTACACTCGGCGCAAAGTTATTCTGCTACAATTCTACAAGCTACTGGATTTGTCAGAACCTTGAGACTGTTTTCGGAGTAATTTTTGGTAATATGATCTTTATTCAGCTTAATATTTTCGCGACTAGGCAATATTTACATAAATACTAATTTTTTAGTAGTAACCTATTTACATGATTTTGTATTTATGTCGACCCAAATTTCGTCACTCAATGCGCCTTTTAACTTGATAATGAATGATTGAAACATTCGAAACGTCGATAACGAAATAAAAATGTCCATCGGTACCTGATTTTCGATTAACCTGTGCGAACGAAAAATGTTGTTCAATATGTTGAAAAAACTAAAAAGAAAATCGTCAATACAATAAATTCTCTGGTCTTTAATGAAACCTGTCTAAATACCATGTTACGGCACATGTGTAGAACTCATCACCACTACAATATCTGCACTGTACAGTGTACAGGCCTCACCTATGCAGCCCGTATTTGGTTATATATGGTATTCACGAGCTTTAAATTCATTAAGAAATTTAGATACCTTGGCCCATAACTTTTTTGAGCCGAGCGTCTCTAGCGAGCATCACGCGCCTTGCGGTCTTGGACGCAGCCTACGCCAGTCAAAACCATAGAAAATTAATTTAACTTCTGCATATTGAGAAAAACCGTTTCTTGAATATTGAGATATGGGATATGTTTCGTGCAAATGGGATGTATCCACGAACATACAAACGATATACATATAATGAACTAAGTACAAGATGGTCACGAGCAGCATATGGGCGCCATGCGTATCTGCATCGCCGGTGCGCTTAGTTTACGATTAACAGAGTGATGTTGGAAGATCAATTTTGGACTTTCAAAGAGTAGATAAGGCATTGAAGTCATTTTTATATATTACATTGTAAAGGCAGAGGTTGTTATAATGTTGGACCTAATGCAGAAAATGTGTATGATGAATCAGACTGCATATAATACAAGTTCAAATTTTCCAATCCATCAGCTTCACTTTCGACGACGGAAAATGAAAAGGATGTGGAACAATAATTATGCTATTTCAAGTAAACATGTATTACACGATTCTCTTTCACAAACATCACATCGTTTGCTCTAGACTTGAACAAGGACCATTTGAGTCTGGCGAAGCAGCTTGGTGCGGACAGTTTCATCCTCTTAACTCCTCGTCGCACGGAGAAAAACTTGGCCATGGAGGTCAGGGAGAAGATGGGCGGCGGCCGCCAGCCCAACGTGACTATGGACTGCAGCGGAGCAGAAGCTTCCATTAGACTGGGTTTTGAGGCATGAATTGAAGGTTACCATGAATATAACTCTCGGGACCATAAATGAATTAATTTAATCGTGTTTCAAATTTTGATACAAGGAAAACTCATATCAAGTTTAGTACCACGAGTGAGTCTATCGCGCTTGCTGTGTAGTAAAATTAGTGACAGAGTAACGAATAAAATCAAAATAGTAATACCACTGATCGATTGGGAGATGGACAGACTGAACTCATAGTAGTTTTAAAATCGACATGGAAGATTCTGGCTTAAGTTACGTATAAATTTGTTAACATGTACATGTCGTTAAAACGGATGGAAAAATACATTTTGTCTGGAGGAAAAGACAGCTGGCATGTTTGCACTAAATAATAAATAATAAACTGACAAATATTATAAAACGAACGTTTACTGCATACTATTCGTTATCCAAGAGAAAGAGAGATAAACGGAATTCCAATGGTTTCAGACTGTCATGGGTAATGCACGATGAATTACAATACAGCCATGCGTTCATGAAATTGAAAGTAAAATGTTAATGCCTTCTGTGTTAGGCGAATTACAACATGAGCCTTGTAAGGAATTAAAACTTCTTGTAGACTCTGAATTAATCTAATTTATAGATCTAACTTTTGGATTTCAAATGGTGCAAATTATTGTTTGCTTAGCACTGAATGTTTTAAATGACTACCAATGACCATATGATGTTAAAGATTCAATTGACCAATCATTAGTCTGATAAATAAATTAGCTTTTCATCGCAAGTTTTGTTAATTTTTTTTTATTTTAGAAGCTTTGGCTAAATTAAAGAAATGTGATCAGTAGTCAACAGTTCAAATTCTCCTAATTTTCAGCTATGATCCAATTAGAATGTGTCACTGGGAATAGTGACTGTAATTATATAGTGATTTTTCGCAGTTTCAAAGATGTTCTTGAGGTCGTGGCGTCAGGCCGCGTCAACGTGAAGGCTCTCATCACGCAGGCTTCCTATGCGGAGGCCAGCAATTGGCGTTCGAAACGGCACGCTCAGGCGCTGCTATGAAAGTCGTCATTGCTTATGACTTCTCGAAATATAACTTGTTCTTTCTCAGTCTTCTTTCTCAAAATATAACTTAAAACGCAATCATAGAATAATAATGAATATAGTGTTTAACGAGTAAATTTACTAACACTGCGTTATACTTCATAAGCGTTATGAAACATGGTTTACAATGTCGCCCATTGTATACTAATGTATAGGTTTTCATTTAAGCCATCCGTACCTATCTAATTTGAATTGCTGATCAATTGGATGTTCAGAAGTACCTACGATACGAAAGTTTATTATTCATTGTAATGTCTATGTAAAGTTGAAAATTTACTCAGAGAAATAAGTGAGTTTTTGTCCTAATAGCGATACAGTTTTTGCGCTGGTGTGGTAAATCTTGACTCAGTTTGGCCCAGTAAAAAGGCACAACAATGCTCGTTTTCTGGTCGGCGATGGTCGAGTGTGTTCGTGTGAAAAAGTGCTCTCATAAGCATAATTACAAAAATAGTTATTTAGCGTAAATGGTTAAATCAGTATTGGATAGGCAAGTAATGATAAGAGATAAGTATAGAATAGGCAAGCATTGATATGAGATCAGTATAGGATAGGCAAGCATTGATAAGAGCTCAGTATAGGATAGGCAAGCATTGATATGAGATCAGTGTTGGATAGGCAAGCATTGATATGAGATCAGTATAGGATAGACAAGCATTGATAAGAGATCAGTATAGGATAGGCAAGCATTGATAAGAAATCGCTCATGGTCCCGTTTCCTACAATCTTTGGTGACAAAAAATCTACGCTCAACCACAAGGGCCAATGCTGTGGACGGTTGTGCTCGCCTGGCTTGAGCGCTGCGAGCGCCCGTGATCGATGATATTTAATATCAAGGTCTAAAAATTCAGCGCCTATATATAACTTCTTTCTCAGATTGCAAAGTTCTGAAATTTCAGCACCTACAACTTCTTTCTCAGATTGCAAAGTTCTGAAATTTCAGCACCTACAACTTCTTTCTCAGATTGCAAAGGTCTGAAATTTCAGCGCCTACAACTTCTTTCTCAGATTGTAAATGTTTGGAATTTCAGCGCCTACAACTGCTTTCTGGGCTTGCCAAGCTCATGCAACACTAAACACTAAGTGCTATTTCGAATAAATCACCTTGTTAAGTTCAACGAGAATTTGGATTTTCCGCTCAATGCATAGAAGTTTTCAGGCAGGACTAACTTGGATACGAAACAAAGCTGAAACCATGGATAAAATGCGCTGAAAAATTTATGCTCCTGGTCTCACGTGCCAACTGAGAAAAACTTTTAATAATCGTTATAGTCATTCTCTTGTTGAGAGGACGTTTGAGTTATTCCGGTGTGAAAATATAAAGGAAGACACGTGTTCATTTTCTTTGCACCGACTTGCATACAGAATATTCTCTAAAAAAAACAATTTAAAGTCTAAAGCTATAGCATATAGAATACAATTCGTCTTCGAACAAAGAAGAAGACGAATTTTGCAAAAGTTTAATGAGATAAATTTTGCGATGGGAAAAGTAAAACTTTCTATCATACGAGAATTTGACGCTCATTTCAATAAGTACATTTAAGTATACACAGACACCCGAAAATTGCTAAAAATTTGTTTAAAAAATTAAAAATACTTTTTTGTGCAGATATAAGCCCGAAATGTTCGTCACACGAAAAATAATTTCGTGACGAAATTTTTCACCGATGAACAGTTCGAATAAGAGAATTTGATCGAATTCTCATCTAACTGAAATTTAATGAAGGAGATAGATTTACATAGAAATCAAAGAAGGGAAAGGTATTATTGTACAGATTTGCTTAGTAATTGTAACTTCCGCGATAGGTGAAGCGAAATAATATTCGTTTCAGCCGAACAATAGAAACTCTAAAACAGCAGAGCATCGTATCCATGACCGGCGATTTTTCTCCTTTGTCCTCGGTATTCTTGATACAAGTGTTGTGCCAGACGACGAGTTGTCACAGGTGCGGCGTCCAGAACACAATGCCATTTCTGATTGGCTGAAAATTTTTTACAGCTTTATAAAACAAACCCAGCCAGTTGTTCGAGCATTGATTCAAAGGCTGACTCATCGGTAGGAAAACAGCTGAAAAATCGCGAATGAAATGGCTTGGATGTGAGGCCCAGAAAATATGAACTTTTATCTTCAAAGGTATACTCAATGTGAAGTTCAAAAGAAAAGCTTTCTAACGTTTCAAAAAATCGTTCTAGAGTATAAGGTAAAAATAAAATTCGGCATATTTGTATTAATTGAGAAATTATTCAAAAATAAATGTACGGTTTTCATCCGGTTTAATTTTTTACAAGTGGAATTATAATTATAACTTAATTTAACAAGCAATTGTTATGATTTCTTGCTCATTGTTTAGCCATTTTTTAGTTGGAATATTGAATAATCAATACTCTGGTGTTGCTGAAGGCCGAAAGAGGTTTTTCTCAAAATATTCGGGAAAACTTCATTTCATTTGAATTGTCCCTAAAGATTTATTTTGAAAAGAGACACGAATATTTAGTTAGCGTACTTTTCCCTTTTTACATCTATATCTTTTATAGTCATTGAGTGTATAAGTTCATGAGGGTTGTTTAGCTAATTAAATCTGCTTCCAGTGTCTTATATTCGAGAAGTTTTTTATCCCTGAATATTTTAGGACGAAAATCTGTTGAGTGACGCCTCAAGCTTGCCACTAACCTATCCGACTGTAAAGCCTGAAAGTGTCATGGCCAAGTTCAACGTTTTTTTTCGAGCTATTGTGCTCTATGCTTGATCTAAATTCCCCATTATAGTTGTCACAAAGAAATTTATTCCTCCTCCTCTTCTCCCTTGATGGCGTAACTGGTCTACAAAACATTCATTGAAATTATGATGAACTTTGAGATGATTCCGTCTAGGATAAAAGTTGAATAAATTCTGAGTGACTCAACCAGCTTCCATTTCCAATGTTGTCGGCGAGATTAGTTATGGTGTCGCATCTATACACCGGACGACAACAGTTAGTTTACTACCGAGATAATTAATTGAATCATATTGTACTCATGACTAAATTATCACAGGGTGAATCATGACACAGGGTGAATCATCACAGGGTTATCACAACATGAAACAGGGTGAATATTTTGAAAGGTGGTATTTACAGAGATCATCAATAGAAGACTCCAGATCCACTGTCTCCGATTTAAAAAAGCGACACAAGAATTACAACCAACCGGCCAAAAAAATTTATGACTACTCTCAACGAACTCG